TAGTTTTAATCATATGTATTGGAGCTGATAACAGTGATTATACTTCTGGGATGGTGCCATATATAAATCTGGAGAACAAATTTAGCCCTTAATGTTGACAAAATAGAGTAGCAATTCTTCGCTTCTTCGCATCTTAAGATGACATCGAGATTGTGATATTCCTTAATGCACTAATAAGAGTTAAAAAATTACTTTTATAAAAAAATTAAAGCAAACTTAAAAGAACAGTAGCTCCGATAGTATTCACATTTAAATAACAGAGTTTAGAACAAATATAACAACTCAAATCTTAAACAGCCAACTGACCTTTGAGATTGGGCAAAAATTCGAGAATAACCTTTATCGCCGTTTATAAAACAATGTGATAATTAAATCTAACATAATCATGCCGTTGACCATAAACGAAATTTCTTTTTTTTTTTAGGCAAAGGACAAATAAGCGAGTTCTGTCGCGAATTCGGCAGCGATTTCTATGTATTTTGATGTTTTAACTTGAAATAAACGCGTAGATCTTTTCGCAATTTAAAAGAATTAGAATATAAGATGATAGTGTTGTATTCATTTAGACATAGTAGTGCAGTTGTAGGCTGAATAAAGTTTAAAAAAAATGTTTATTTTAACTACGAGTAATATAGGTAATCATTTAATTTAAAAATCTGTTTTGATAAAAAAGAAAAAAGATATTAGCTATAGGTTTATAACACTGATATGTTTGTTGGAAGAATTGTTTGTTTGTGTGAATTGTTTATTTATTTAATATAAACCGACCGGTTTAAATTTGACAGGGTTAAAATTGACAGGGTATATCATTAAAGAAATAATTTTAAAACAATAAGGTAAATAAAGTTAAAGTAACCTTAATTAGTTAGTACTATAATTAACGATTATAATTTGTGACGGCAAAATAACAGATATATCAAATATAAATTAAATACTCGGCAAAGAGCACGCTTTGTAAAAATAACCACCTCCCCATATTATGTATAATAATGAAGAATATTTGAAAAAGAAACCATATTCAAATATTTTTAAATAAAACTGCAATGAGAAACGATGTTACAGTTCACCTGAAAGCACAGAACAAATAATTGTAGGTACTACGTAGGTACTGAAAGTAAAAGTGGTTCCACAGTCCATGAACACCGATAGCCAACTTCAAAAGGAACAAGCTACAGATGAATTGTCACTTCTGAGGACTGAGATGGATGCCTATAGTTATACACTAGCTCTCTATACCCTTCAGACTGGAACAGCAGTGCAAATTGATCTGGCGCAGAAATAGGTATGAAGTAATAGCGTAGTACTATTATTTACTCTGTGGTAACAGTGTGGTACCTACACAGATAGACCTAGACTCAGACAGAAAAGGCGTCTTGCCACCGAATATAATTGTGAATATTTCTTTTTATCTATACCTTAAAATATTTATTCAATATTTATAAATATTATTCAATATTTTTGTTACCTACGAGTACGTCGATACTTTTGTAGATACAGTGAGGGACGGCAATTTTAAAGCATTTATTCGAAAAATGAATGAAGTGTGACGAAGCAAATTCATATTGTAGATGTGAACGGCAGAGTCGAGAAGGGACGCCCTAGAAGAAGGTTCATCGACCAAATTGGCGATATTTTGAAAATGGGCCACATTAGGAGTTACGAGCGTGTATGCGTAGATATATGTATTATGGATGTAATGGAGGCGAGAGAGGTATGTCAAGATCGTGTCAAAAGGAAGTCCGTAGTCTCTGCCTACCGCTCAGGGTGACATGCGTGAGTGTTTATATATATATATATATATATATATATATATATATATACACATATATATATATATATATTCTTCGAATTATATATACTTACTTATATAATTCGAAAAATGTTCAATAAACTAAAAACTAAGAACTACTATAATCGTGCTTCAATGAACTAAGTTCATAATTGATTCCCACAATGATGAGTAATAAAAATATTTACCTATGGCAGCTACCCATTTTTACACCCTAAAACTAATCCCAACCCAAAGTCATATATCCCATTTTTTAACCTCATGCCTGTATGCCAAATTAATACAAGTAAAGCACTAGAAGTCAGAGAATAACCTCTATCTCTATATGACAGACACAGATAGAACAAAGTGATTCCTCAAGTGTTTCGTTTCCAAAATTTAGCACACGGGGCACTTGAATGAAAGAACTTAGCGTCTAAATAACGTTTATTTATATTAGATTCGAAACAATGACTGATGCTTAGTACCTCATATTATATTAAACAGAAACAGAAACTTTTTTTATTCAATAAAGATTATAAACAATACTTATTGAAAGTCACTTTTTTTCGTTTACCAATGGTTCGCAAAAAAACCTCTATCCTGGGAAGAACCAGCAAGAAACCCAGCGGGACTATTTTTTTTTTTCAAATAATAGCTTACAATCATGTATGTTACAATTAACAACACAGAAAAATTTGAAATAGCCTGCTAGCGATCACCCTTCCCAGGAGTTATTATCATCCATAAATTCCTTAGTAATATAATACCCCTTTTTATACAAACTTAGTTTAACAAAGTTTTTGAACTTTGTGTATGTCAAATTTTGCATATTTGTATATTAATAACATATATTTTCGATTGATATACAAAAAACAGTGACATTATCAGAAAGAAGCTACATCGCTACATATACGTCGTTAGAGCCATGCTGTAGCTATATTATGGTTGTAGTAGGAATGGGTCGGCTCGACCGGGGAAGGACTACGCACTCACAGAATACCAGCGTAAACGAGTTTCAGTAAGTGAGTGTAGGATCCGCAGACCCTTTTTTACTCGAAACGAGGCATTCCATCTGGGTGACACCGTATCTGCATATTGATTCATAATCGAGGATAAATGTGGATGTCTATGGGCCACAGCATCCACTTAACATCAGGTGGACTGTGTGCTCGTATGTCACCCTTATTCAATAAAAATATCAAATTCATCTTGCTATTACTACTGTATTTCCCCTACGATCCTGCTTTAATTAATTAATTAATATAATTTAACAACATTGTAATCTGCAATCACATGCGAACATGTTCATAGTCTGTGTTCCAATTCTAACCTAGGCCACTCAACTTTTAATTTTTGATGATACTATTATGATTGTCCCATGTCTCTATCCATACATCCTTTCACCGATCTATTTGCCAAATGTAACATGCGATGTGAGAATAATTGATAGATGTACATCCTCTTATATTAGAGTGTAATACTTTCGCCACAAACATATGTGCAAGCGACGTTGTCACTACGCCAAGCCGTCGTTCCTAGCGATCTAATATATTTTCTATAAAATCTATTTTGTTTATAGTTTTTGACAGAATTTGGCCGGTGTCACAGTGGTTGAAAATTGAAATCGGCCAAGAAAACTTCCTCATTATCTTAAGAGTAATTAATATTATGATTATGTTCCGTGCTTCGTCACAATTATTATTTCACACATAATAACTGTTTACGCGGTAATCCACATAACCTATTATAGTACAACATCTTCCGTTTGCATTTTAGGTTACGAAAGATCAATAAAATCTTTCGTAACCTAAAATGCAACGGATAATATTATAAAGGTAATACCGAGTGCTTCTACCATAGAAATCTAGTGCCTTATTATTTAGATTTCTGTAACTTCTACAGAGAGGATAACAGGACTTCACATCGAATAAAGGCTGTAGCTACCATAACGATTTCTTATATTTACGCGAACACTATACATGATTAAAACTACTTTTACGGATTTTATCGCGTTTATTTTTTCTTTTTATTTACTTTTATTTTTATTTTTTAATTCCCGACGTGTACCTACCAGTTGCTCTAAAATAAATTGTTTCTACGTATTGTTAAAAAATTATGCATAACAGGTAAACATTACGCCTGTCTACCAGAGGGGTAGACAGACTATGGATTTCCATTTGACACGATCCTGACACAGAATTGTATAGATAAATATTAATTTTACGTCTATACTACTATATAAGAGAGCACTATGTCTAGCGAGGTCCACGTTAGTCCTCTGCTAGAGGATGATGATGAAAATAGGTAGGTATATGAAGTATGCCAAATCTCTACATACATATAAAAACCAATTGCTGTTCGGTCGTCTCGCTAAAATTCAAAAACGGCTCGACCGATTTTGACTTGATTTTTTGTGTGTTTAAATGGATCCCTATATTATGGTTTAGATTAAGATTTAGACCCAGTAGGTGGCACTGTTGTCGTTATCCAGAAATCACCCATGTGAAGCTGGGGCAGCTCTCCAGTTATACTTATACATAAAAATCAAGTTAAATTTTATTAGTGATCAAAAGTATCAGCCTCATTCATTATACGATGATTTTAAATCTTGAACTTTCATAAAATAAGCCAATTTAATTTATAAATACGTTAGCGTTACTCATATTGTAGGTATAATATCATTTACGCAGCGCTGATATCAGTTAGGGGAACTTGTGTACATTTGCTGGTGAAATCAAATTTAGATAAACTATCTGAAGGTCATTAACTATATTGCTCGTTATCCAATGAAAATTATTTAGACCTAGATGGGCCACGGCCGTTCATTTTAACTAAAAGTGATAAAATTAAAAAATCTGTACAACTGACTAGAATATAAATAAAATGAGAACATCATCAACGTACTAGTCGATATCTATAAATATATAAATAATATTATTAAGGATAACTCAAAAACGACTGGTCAGATCTTGATCAAATTGATATGTGACCACATAAGAAGCACCAGCTTCTAAATAAAAAATAATCATCAAAATCGGTTCACATCATAGAATACTATAATATTATAACTTATAACTCCTCCTTTTTGAAGTCGGTTGAAAATGCCACACAGCAAAAAACAATAAATAACTAATCAATGTAAACCTATAATATCCACAGAATAAAAACAATAGTGAACTTATATCATTACTATGATTTTGACGACAAACTTTACATTTAGGGAAATACTCTATTGTATCGCACTTTTGATTTTACTTACAGCCAGACCAACCTTGTAGGTAGTCAAATTTGTACTGTGCAACTTTAAAACAGTTTCTGAACGAAATTTACGATTTAAAACAATAATTCAATAGCATTTTTTATCATTTCACATCTTTTGAAACAACACCACAAAATTATCGTTTATAAAACAATTTGTAAAAAAACTTCCAGTGGTTTGCCAAACTGGTTTGATACCTAAATCGAAACAAGAACACGCCAAAAGCGATGCACGTTAATTATAATTATTGGTGATCTACATATATGCTGCGGTACGAGCATATAATATAACGATTGAGTTTAAAATCTTACCTCCTGGTCGTAGCAGCGTGTTTGGATGCACGAAACCATCCTTATGTAGCAACAAATGCCTGGGCTCCGTTGCCAGGTAACAGGTGGAGCCGTCAGCGAGGCACTTCTGGAAACACTTTGCGGCCTGATAAAACAAGGCCCATGCGTGCTCCTCACTGATAGTTGAATTAAATGCCTGCAATATCTGTTGTAGATTTATACAGTCGGAAGCGTCCAGCGAGAACTCAGTCCCGGGCGCACCGGCACCTTCCTTCCGCATCATTGCGCTATCCAGTTGCTATCGGAGTCATGTTAATAGTTACACACTGCACTATCTTCGACACAGGTCGATCGTTTCACCATAAATTTGTACTATTTCAAGCGGCACTGTAAATTTTTTATCCGGTTTATCAAATTTTTGATTTTACAATATATCAGTTATTTACGTTCGTAACTGTCATCGTGGTTTCCTAAAACGTCACTGTCAGATTATTTGCGTTTTGTAAGTGGGTGGTGTAAAAATTTTTTCGGATTGTTTTGCGTGATCGAGATCGCGAGAGCGCGTGCGCGGCAGCGCGTTAAGCTGACACGTACTATGTACATTCACACCGACGGCTCGTGCCGAACTAGCTCGCTCGCCGCACGGAGCCTTCTCTTCTCCGCAACCGCAGCCTCAACCTCAGACAGATACACCCTACCCCGGACGGTATTATTAGTACTTCCTTTATTATCACGGCACAAGAAAAACACTGCATTGTCGATACAAAATTGTTAAATAAATTATAGTAAAAAATACTTGAAAATGGAATGAAATACCATAACATTATTATACGTACTATTACACCTAAGTGTTCACTAATTACAAAACCGCAATCGACTTTCAAGACTAGGTACATTGATAAGGTAATTACTGATATTGGAATATTTTATTTTGGGTTTATCTTATCATGTAGATTAGGAACCCTAACTCTGTGAGTTGATAAGTACGTAGACAAGTAGCAGGCGACTAAAATAAATGAAAAACCCTTTGTACTTATACTCGTGAGTACGAGTTGATACGAACAGAACAGATATTAAAATACAAAATTGGGTTAAATTCCAAGGCTTCATTTTATATTTTGAACATTACATCATTAGGTAAAAGGGTATAATATGTAATAAATATAATTATGTTCAACGTTACAATTTATTTGGGTGCTCTTTTGCTCTAATTCTACATGGAATACAATTTTCGCGATTACAAATAATCATCATATCATATCATAAACACCCACGCCTGTCACCCAGAGGGGTATGCAGAGACTACAGCCTTCCATTTGGCACGATCCTGACACACCTCTCTCGCCTCTTCCACATTCATATACCTACGCATACATGCTCGTCGGTTAAAGATACTCTTAGTTTGGCCCCTTTTCAGTAGGTCGCCAATTTGGTCGACAATTTTTCACCAAGGGCGTCCGTTACCGGCTCCGCAGTTCACTTCAGCAACAGCTTTGTCACTCTTTCCTCATTCATTCTTTCTAAGTACATGATCAAACCACCGAAGCATTCCTTTCTTAATCCTCGTCACAACATCACCTTGCATACCACACTCTTCTCTTATTACACAATTCCTCACCCTGTCACTCAGATTCAGCCCTAACATACACCTTAACGACCGCATTTCTCATGCTTCTTCTGCCACACCCAACTTTCACTACCATACGTTAAAGTAGGTACTAACACAGCATTGTGAAATGCCTTTTTTGACACATTCTGACTTTCAACAATAGACTGTAGAGCCCCATTTACTCTATTTCCTGGGTTCACTCGTCGTTCTACTTCTATATCATTATCAATTATCATATCTCCAATCCCTGCTAAATACGCATCCCAAATAAACAACTATCTCGACCAACTCTCCTTCTATTCTTATTTCACTTACCGTTTTACTTTCTTCTTTTTCAAAAACCATAACTTTCGTCTTACTTGCGTTCACTTTCATTCCCCTTTTTTTTAACGACCTGTTCATTAATGTAACCGTCATTTGCAACTGGGCCACCGCCGATGCAAATATAACTTGATTATCGGCGTACAAAAGGCATTTGACGATTACCTCACCCATTCTTAACCCGCATTCTTCAACTTTCAAATTTTCCAAACAGCTGTCCATAAATAGGTTGAAAAGCCACGGGAAGCCACACAGCCCTGTCTGACACCTTTATGAATGCAAAACCAGTCAGAGTAGACCCCGTTGACCCTAACACAAGCACTGGAGTCCCTATAGAGACTTCAATGCCTGTATCAGCCCAGCGCTCAACCCAAATGAGTTCAGTGTTTGCCATAATATATCCCTGTCCACTCTGTCATAAGCCTTTTTTTAAGTCCATGAACGCACAAAAAATTTTTAGTTTTTGGCCAAAAACTTCTCCAAGATCATGCGCATGGAAAAGTCTTGATCAGTACACCCCATTCCCTTTCTAAATCCCGCTTGCACATCCCAAATTTTTCCTTTCCATCAGTTTCTTTCATGACCCTTTCAATTAGTACCTTAGCATACAGTTTTCCCATAATGCTAAGAACGCTGATACCACGGTAGTTTTTAAAGTCCTACTGCGACCCTTTTCCCTTATATATTGGGACTATCACGGCTTTGCACCAGTCTTCCGGTACCCGTTTTAGTTCCCTCCAGCACTTAGCATTTCGAGTGAAACTCTGTCATATCCGGCTGCCTTACCTACAGTTACGAGCTTGAGGTTCGTCACAATAAAAACTGCCGATTGAATTACCAAAATTTACACTTTTATTACCGAACACCAATTAAAACTTAAAAGACACTAATAATTAATCACACTGATTCACTTTATTTCGCTCCGAAGCTTCGCTTGTCTCGCCAAATTCAATACTGCCCCGATCGCGGCTCGCAGCGGCTTTAAATACACCTTTTACACCGAAACATCCAGAATATTCCAGTAAATACGGGCGCCGACCGACCAGACGCAGAAATTTAGAGTGTGGGGCTTCTAGAAAGCTTAATTCTTCTATTCGATACTAGATGGCGCTGTTGGTCGAAAGTTCATGATTGACATTTTCTAGGAAGCCCTCCTCAGTCTAGTCTCCGACACTAGATGGCGCTAGTGCCAAGTACCAGATGATAACTTAGGCGCGTAACACTAATTTCATGCTTTTCATTGCTTTCATTATTTCATCTGTACTTGTCTCTCTATATTCTTTTTCCTCTTCTTTCGGAGTTTCCATTTCATTTAATTCACACGTCTCCTCACACTCTCATACACGCTTTTAAAATATTTCTTCCATCTCTTTAAACTCAAAACTTCATCATTCAGAATACAGCCATTCTCGTTTCGTATAGCATTCAATGTAGGCTGTTTTGAAAGTTATTTATTTCTTATCAGTTCTTTCCTGTTTTTTCTCTTCAACTACTTCTTTTACTCTCTTATTTAGACGTCTAAAGACTGTCTTTTTTCTATCCATATCATAATTCGTACTGCGAGAATTACCAGCCTTGGTTGCTAGCAAATCTAGCCATGCTCTCTTCTTTGCTTCAACTTCCATACGTATCTCATCATCCCACCATAACTTATTATCATTCCTTTCATTCGTTCTCTTACTAACACCACATACTTCGGTAGTCAAACCACTTACATTTTCTTTCAGTCTACATTTGTACTTGTTTTTCACACCTTCATCTTGTTACCTCTCTGTTCTTATACGCTATAATACAGTGATAGACACAGATGTCCGATGCCGCCAACGTCTGAAAAGACCATTAATTCGGCATAAAACCAAGTAATAATCTGTCCCTACGTTGGACCCCCGGTAAACCCTTGTCTCTACCTGTGCGCGCCTTATTCTTTCATCCACAATTATGAAATCTATCATGCTTCTATCATCACTTATTTCACATGTATACATGTGAATCTTCTTATGACGAAAGAAAGTGTACGTCACAAAAGAGATTCTTTTCATCACATACGGTGAGGAGGCTTTCACCATTCTCATTTATACTTTCATTACCAAACGTTCCTAATATCATTTCATAACCAAGCCTCTTCAACCCAACCCTTCCATTAAAATCTCCTAACATAACAATATTTTCCCCCTAGAACCCCCTACCCCTAGAACAAACAACTTCCTTAAGCCCACTTTCATTCATATCCATAGCAGTCTCGGGCTTACACATTCATACTCTTTCACACACTGACTCTTCTTTCTGAAAGGATGATACCGACTCCCTGGCAAGCCCGCTCGGTCTCATCTACCCCAACCAGTACGCGTAATACATGCCATGAGTAGTAACATCCCTTCCCTTCCGTTTCGCCTCATTTACACAAAACACTCTATCTATTCCTCAATCATTCATCATATCACATGCTTCATCCATCTTATCATTCATTGCTCCACATACATTCAGCGTAGCCAGACGAGCCACTTTTCGCCCCTCCGGGAGACAGAACGTGACGGGTGGCCAACCTCGTCGCCGATTTTCCTCCCGGAGATTCTTCGCAACCCTGCCCCATTAAAGGGGCGCCGGGAACTCGGGGTAATTTATTTCTTTTGTTGCCTTATGGTGTGAAACTGTAAGGTGTAAAGTCGAGCCTGTACCTACGGCTTGTCGCTCATTTAGCATCACCCGGGGGACACGTGTACGGTGGGCCTAGGTTTAAGTGGTCGAAGCCTACGGACGCGAGCGATTTATCACCCAATTACAAATGATGTATAAATATAATAATAATAATAACGACGATACGATAAATTTAAGCTATAATAATTTGAATACGTTTTACTTATATAAATAGAATATCTATTCCACCCACTGACCTCTATATATACAAGTACGCTGGACTGGCTACACCATACAAAATGGCTGTGCCAATTTGAAGCGCCGCTAAAGGATGTCTTGAAAAATAAAATTGACATAATATGCCAAAGTATGTTGTCTTATTTATATTGTCTTTTTTAATAAGTCTGTATTTTGAACTTTTAAACTAAAAAACTAAAGTATTTTATGTTGTTTGATTGTGTATAATATTAGTTACATAATAAGAATTATTTTTATTAATAATGAGAGTGTGCGTAATCTGTAAAACTCGTTACCAAAAGGGAAGTGGTATAACATTTCACAAGTAAGTGAATTTGCAGCAAATATTAAACAAATTAAAACTATTTGATAAAATAAGTACTTAGAAATTTGTTACTAATCTTAATTTCATTTATACTAACATGTTTGGGTGCATATTACTGAGTTTTGATAAATAATAAAATTCAATAGGGTTGTCGAGT